GGCATTGTGTGTGCCTGAGATGCCAAGCTGAGTAAAAACAGACCAAGTATTTGTCCTTATGGAGCCTGCAGGCTGGAAAGGAGCTGGTCATTCAAGTAAGTAAAAAATTAAGATTGTCATAAAGGGCTTCAAAAAAGTACATGTTTCTTTGAGAATGTGTATTTTGGCTTATCTTGGGGGTCAGGAACAGCTTGCTTGAAAAAGGATGGCAGAATTGAGATCTGCTCAATGAGCAAAGGTTAAACAGATAAAGGAGGGGGAGCTTTTTAAGCAGAAGAAAGGTCAGATGCGTAAGCTCTGGCAGGACTCTGGCAAACTTGAGGAATCCAAGAAAGCCAGTGTCTACTTTGCAATGCTGTTGTGAGGATTAAATAATGCATGTAAAGTAGGTGCAAATGTTGGCACACTGTAAGCTTTCAACAAATGCTAATTACTATACACAGGATCAATATAAAGTCCCTTCCTGATGTGGTGTGGTAGCAGGAGTCCCTAGGCAGTGGCAGTACCTATAGAAAAAAGCAATTTGGAGATCCCTGGATGCTGAGAGCTGGAGGGGTGTGATCAAAGGAGAGTCTCTGTAATGCATTGTGGGTATAGGGAGTAAGGTTCAGAATGAAAGCAGAGGCTGTGAAAACAGTCCAAAACAATCTTTCTTTTCTAGTTCAAGTTAGCACATATAGGCAAAATTAGAATTATCTTATTTCTTTAACTTTAAAACAAATTAGAAATGTCTTATCAAACTATTAATTTGCAAGAAATTTAGAGGATAGAGGAACAAGTTAAACTACACCATAAAGATGCAATCACTAAAATCCAGACTATGGGAAACTCTACAGGGCAAAAACCTAGCTTCTTTAATAAAAATTTGAAGGAATGAAAAAAAAAAAAGACAGAGAGAGGAAATCTCCATGTGTTTTCCAGTATTATGTAAGGCAAGTATTATATATAATCCATATATAATATATACATTCTACACTGTATGTATTCCCAGTATTATACAAGGACATCTCCATGTATCTCCCAATATTATGCAAGGCAAAACTACAGAAGAAGTCTTAGTCCCTATCTTTGAGAATCTCTGATAATAATATTTGTCTGAACTTAACTACTAAGAGTATCTGCTCCTGTTTAAATTAAGTTCAATATTCCATCCTATATAACCAATTTCCTATATTACATTTTGAGTAAGAAGAAATCAGGCTAGGTAAAATGATATTGTGATTAAAGTCTACTGTGCTTATATTTCCAAAAGCAATTTTGATTTTCATAGATCTTGCCTTTTACCCTAGGAATCCATTTCAACCAATAGCTCCGATCAAAGATTTAAATGTAAATTATTTCTAATTAAGTACAAAATATTTTCCAAATTGAGATATACACAGAAGAGTAAATCATTATATCTGGCTGCTCTTTATGTGTTCATGCCTTCTTTCATTCATTCACCCAGTAAATATTTACTGAGCACTTTCCATGTGCCAGGCTCTGCTCTAGGCCCCAGTGATGCAGCAGTCAGCAGAAGAGGTAAAAACTCTAGGCCCTCAGGGAGCCTACTTCTGATGTGATGAAGAGGAGGAGACACATAATTTTTAAAGAAATGTTTAAATGGACTATAATTTATCAAGTAATGACAGGCACTGTGTGGAAGACTTCAGCAGAGAAAGATGATAGAGAATTAAGAATATGGTAGGGGATTGCTGTGTCAGAGAGGACAGACAGGGAAGGCTACTGGGCTGGGATATTTTAATACAGATTAGAATAAAGTGAGAAAACAAGAGCAGAGGGAATGCTTAGTGCCAAGTCCCTCAGGTGGCAGCATACCTAGCACATTCATGAAAACAGTGAAGAGGCCAGTATGGCTGTACCAGAGTGGACGGGTACCATGGTTATGAGCATGCAGCCCGAGGGGAAGCAATGCCTTAACCCAGGCAAAGCTGTCTGGAGATTCCAGAGGAGGAACCCAGGAAAGTGTCCATAATAACAAGATCAGTTTTAACCTCCTCTGGGGCAAGAGGAAATCCTGTAGGCGACATCAACTCCTATCTCTATCTGCCTCTTACCTCTGATCTCTCTTGTCCATGACCCCTCTCCTGGAGGAGCTAGACCCTACTGATAAGGGTCAACCATGTTGCAACCAATCAAGCTGCAGTTAAGGGAGAGGACAATCTTAACTTTAAATAAAGGTCAGAATTTTAACTACCACACAGAAGAGGAGACTTTAATTACGGGCATGAGAATAATCTTAGCACTAAAGTAATCAGAGGACATTTTATTATCTTAGGCTGACTACAGAAATCCCAAGATCTGCCTGAGCAGCCATCATCCAATGACCCAGAGAGAAAACAGCCTAGTGGTAGGTTTGCAGGAGCTGCTGTGAGAAAGTCACGATGGTTCTGTGTGATTACACCTGATGGCATTTTGCTTCTATGGTGTAATAATTTATGTAAGGATTTTAAGAGTAAAAGAGGGGCAGCAGATTTGCCATTTGTAACATTAGCCAAACTCACAGTCTGGTTTGTTTGTTTGTTTGTGTGTTTTGCCTGCTTAAAACATGCCAGAATATTAGGACAAAATTGACCCCTCCTTCATTACTTTTTACTTTTATTAAGTTACACATTAGCTTTTTGATTTCTAATATTTTCTGAAAATATTTGAGTACTTGTAATTCCTATTCCTAGATGTATATCTACTTAATGATAATCACTCTCTTCTGAAAGCACAGTGAATGACAGTATTTTACAGTCAAAATAAATGGTTATATGACAAATGAAAGCAGACACTATAGTTAGTCGAGCTGATTCATCAAAAAAAAAAAATACACACACACACACACACACACACACACAGACACATTAAAGTTGAATCAACTGTCATCTTTTAGTGATGACTGTTGATCTGATGTGATGAGAGAAGTTCCCGCACGTGGATAGGTAGACTCGGCTCCTGGATGCTCTGGAACGTCGTTAACTCATACAGACTGATTCTGGCCCTGGTTCAAACTTCTAAGCCTTTGTTCTTGAGGCTCAGAGGATGGCTTTGAAGTTCAGGATAAAGCTCTTCTAACACACCATTACCAAAGAATAACCTTTTGATTATGATCTCATGAAAGTATAATCAATAACTTACATAAGTTAAAACCATGGCAAACAGTGACGGTTCTGTAATTGGGCCTTTATGAATTCCATATGTTACGATCTTTGCATTAGCGAATGGTCCTGCATAATACACATATCTCTTCCCCAAACATGCTGCTGAACTTTCTTAAAAGGCTGTGAAACTTTTCACAGCTACTGTCAGCCTTGAACTCTTCAGACCCCTAAGCGTGGGTGTAGTACCTAAAGGGCAGGATTTTTGGAAAGCCTAAAAGGACAAATATTTTCCCCAGATCCAATATACAGTCATTTGTGTAAAGCAATTTAATTGAAGACAGTAACTTTTTACCTAATTGCATGGCTTGTGTGCTTTGAAAAATATATCTGGGGGAAAAAAAGACTTTTCTGACAAATCATTGTTAAAATATAGGTTAAAATATATTCATTTAGCAAAGGCATGCTGTCATGTGAAGATCTCAAATGTCTGGGACCTAGCTAGGAAGCCATTATGTCATTAACTACATTATCTAGGGTTTATATTTGCTTTCTCTCTCTGATTAAATGAAGTTGCATTATTAGCAAATTAGAAATGTGGGTGTTTAGCATAGCTTGATTGCCTTCGCTTTGGGAGAAAGGAGCAGTAAGCATGGAAAAAAAACAAAACCAACAGAATTTTCTAATCTATCTGAGGCGACAACAAAGAAGTCTGAATTGAACGAGCACTTAATGACAGAATAAGATATCCAAGGAAAGATTAGTCCCATCTTTTTGGACTAAACATGAGATCTTTGAAGAGAGATGAATATATAAAGCCAAATGCAATAAACAAAGAGGGCACACATCAAAGGAGTTATTTTTGTGTCTTGGTTTCTTCCTTTTCAATAACTGCCCTCCACTCCCCACTCCATCATTACCTTAGTCAATTTTGTTACCTGTTGTCATGGATTTTCCTCCGCCTCACCACCACCACCACCATCTCCTCCTCCTCTTCCCTCTTCTTGTTCTTCCTCCTCCTCCTCCTCCTCCTCCTCTTCTCTTCCTTCTCCTCTCCTTCTTCTCCTTCTCCTTCTTCTTCTTCTTCCTTCCTTTCTTTTTTTTTTTTTTTTTTGAGACAAGGTGTTTCTCTGTCACCCAGGATAAAGTGCAGTGGTGCAATTCTGACTCACTGCAGTCTCCATCTTCTGGGCTCAAGCCGTCCTCCCACCTCAACCTCTGCAGTAGCTGGGACTACAGGTGCATGCCACCACACCAGGCTCATTTTTGTATTTTTTTTTTTTTGTAGAGGTAGGGTCTTACTATGTTGCCCAGGCTGGTCTCAAACTCCTGGGCTCAAGCAATCCTCATGCCTCAGGCCTCCCAAAGTACTAGGATAACAGGTGTGATCCACTAGTGCCCAGCTTGAATTTTTCTTTGTTTTGAAACATATTTGAAAGTTACCAAAGCTACTTTTGAGCAAATTTGTGCATCTCTAGATTCTCTAGTTCAAAATAACACTGTTCAAGCAATCCTTGTGATTCTACTGCCACTATGGAACTTTTCCTCTTGTAAATATGTTAGTAGCTTTCAAATTAGGATTACTGACTCACAATGCATTCATTGTACTCATTTGCATTAAAAATATGATATTTGGCCCCACATCTCCTCTATTTGATGATAATTCCTAGAGGCAGAGATGATAACTATTTATCAGTCTATTTTCAATGGTCCATTTATTTAGTAAAGGTAATTTCAAATGTCTTACACACAAAAAAAGGATGATCAAAGACCACTAACACCAAAGGGGAGAGAGATCAAGCTTTTGAATATCTTCAGTTTGACTATTTTTAAAGAAAATATCAGTGAGCTTGTTAGGGTCCTAGTTGTAATAGAGGGAAACAGGTTACATAAAGAAGAAAAGGAAAGAAACAGATTGTCCTCACTTCAACAACACATAAATTAAAATTGAAATGATACAGAGAAGATTAGCATGGCCCCTGCACAAGGATGACATGCGAATTTGTGAAGTGTTTCATATTTTTCAAAAATTAATTCAAGATGGATTAAAGACTTAAATGTAAAACCCAAAACCATAAAAATCCTAGAAGAAAACCTAAGCAATATCATTCAGGATATAGGCATGGGGAGAAGTCTTCATAATGAAAACACCAAAAGCAATTTCAACAAAAGCCAAATTTGACAAACGGGATCTAAATAAACAAAAGGGCTTCTGCACGGCAAAAGAATCTATCATCAGAATGAACAGGCAACCTACAGAAAGGAAGAAAATTTTTGCAATCTACCCATCTGACAAAGGGCTAATATCCAGAATCTGAAAGGAACTTAAACAAATTTACGAGAAAAAACAACCCCATCAAAAAGTAGGTGAAGGATATGAACAGACACTTCAATAGAAGACATTTATGAGGCCAACAAACATATTTTAAAAAGCTCATCATCACTGGTCATTAGAGAAATGCAAATCAAAACTACAATGAGATACTATCTCATACCAATTAGAATGGCGATCATTAAAAATCTGGAAACAACAGATACTGGAGAGAATGCAGAGAAATAGGAACACTTTTACACTGTTGTTGGAAGTGTAAATTAGTTCAACCATTGTGAAAGACAGTGTGGCAATCCCTCAAGGATCTAGAACCAGAAATACCATTTGACCCAGCAATCCCATTACTGCATTTATACCCCCAAAATTATAAATCATTCTACTATAAAGACACATGCATATGTATGTTTATTGCAACACAATTTATAATAGCAAAGTCTTGGAACCAACACAAATGCCCATCAGTGATAGACTGGATAAAGAAAATGTGGCACATATACATCATGGAATACTATGCAGCCCTAAAAAATGAGATCATATCCTTTGCAAGGACATGGATGAAGCTGGAAGCCATCATTCTTAGCAAACTAACACAGGAACAGAAACCTAAGCACCGCATGTTCTGATTCATAAGTGGGAGTTGAACAATGAGAATACATGGATACAGGGAAGGGAACATCACACACCAGGGCATTTCAGGGAGTCAGGGGCAAGGGGAGGGATATCATTAAGATAAATACCTAATGCATGCAGAACTTCAAACCTAGGTGACAGATTGACAGGTGCATCAATCCACTATGGCACCTGTATACCTAAGTAACAAACCTGCACATTCTGCACATGTAACCCAGAACTTAAAGTAAAAAAAGAAACAGATCAATAGAAAAAACTGAATGTATCCAAATAAGCAAGGCTAATGTAATCTGATTCATGATTTGTGTGGTTGCATGGAAACTAAGAGCTCTGAAAACTGGGCCTCTTTTTACTTTAAAGTCTGAGAACTGTACATCAGTTAATATCAATATTTATTTTCATGGCTCTATCAATAGCTAGATGAACAATGTAGACATCAACATAGAGCCACAAGATGCAAGCCATGCCATAGTAAATTCATGTCTTTGCTCAAAAGAGAGGACAGGAAACAATAGAGATAGATCTACCTCCATTTCAAAATTGATATTGATTCCTTCCTAAATGGCATAGTTATAAAATGGGAAATCTAGCCTCTACCATTCTAGGGGATGGCTGAACAATAGATTTAAGAGCCACACTCAAAGTGGAAAACTATGTCAGCCTGGTGACACATTGGGTGGTATTTTATTCAGATGAGTCTCAGAAGTGAATCTGTTAGATATTCTTTTTAGAATATCTAACTTAACTTTGACAAACACAATATGAAGATGCTCACATTGCCTATTTTTTATCCTACTTTTTCCCACTTCCAAGTCTTATCATGTTACTTTTATCTATGTTACTCTTCCTGATCTCTCCAAAACCACTTTGTTTCAAAAAATCAAATCCTGCCTCAACATTTATTTCTAAATTATCTCCTGCCCAGAGAGCAAATCTTTCCATAGAGCTCTTTCTGTGGCCATTTGTATAATTACCTTAGCATTGCCTTTATGTATTTCTGTCTTTGGTGTCTTCCCTTAATTTTCTTTGGTTGTATGATATCACTTCATGTGATATGATTAGAGGAAATTAAAATTTTAAATGTTCTAGTATCATAGGGGAAAAACATGTTTACTAAATGGAAGAAGTGAGGAAGAGGGGAGGAGTTGTAATTCTAAAACTGGGGGGTTCTAGTGAAAAGAACTCATCTCCAAGAATGAGCCAAAGTTATAAAACAAATTAAGAGAAGGACAACAGCACACCAGGGTTAGTACATGTTGTGCTAGCATAATGTCTTTCCTGCCCCACAGGTTGCGGATAAAAGAAGTCAATTTATGAACACAGACTTTTAGAAACAGGTTAACATAGGGTCAGGCCAATTTTTCAAAGTCATGTAAAAACAGTACTATTTTTAAACATATATATTATCTGACTATTAAACACTTTTCAACTCTGTTTGAAAACTCTGTATCTGTAGTTCCTTTTGATGCTCTTGGAATGTCCATAATAAGGAATCTGGGAGAGCTTTGTAAATAGGCCAGTCTTTACAAAGCCCTTCTAAGGGAAAATAGCAGATCATAATAGTTACAACACTCTAGAGCTGGAAAAATTCTAAGAGATCATATGGGGAAGTGAAGGACCAGGTAGGTTAAGTAACATTTCCAAAGCCCACCCTGTCAGGACTGGCTCAGCACGCTTTCCATGATCTCAAATGGCCCCAACACCAACCACTCCTGTTTTGCTATTGTTCAGTACCTACCATGTCCTGGGCACTTGCTAGGCAAAATGGATCTTGGCCAGTACTAAGTCACCAAATAGTGCCTGCAACTAGCCCACTCAGCTACTGCCTCAAAATTGAACATTAAATTGTGTGTGTGTATGTGTGTGTGTGTGTGTGTGTGTGTGTGTGTACTGGACAACACAAAAACAGATCAATGGCCTTCCCCATAATCCATTCCAGAGAAAAACTGAAAAACTGTAGGCAACTTTTTCTTTCCACATTTTATGGGACTGTGATATGGTGATGTTGTACCCTAAGACTGAAGGACAGTGAAAAACTCTGCCCTCGTTGTCAGAAAACATGTGCTCTTTTGCCAGCTCTGTTGCTAACTCCCTCTGGGAAGTTGGTCATCAGTTCCAGTCCTTGGTTTCCTCTTCTGAAAAATAAGGTGGTTGAACTAATCTTTAAGATTCCTTCCCTTCTAAGAGTTTAGAGTTCTAAAGAAGCCCTTAGCAATTTCTTCCAAGATTTAATGTACAGTTCTGAACATTTGGGAAGAGAATATAGCTCATTCTGCATACAGACCTGGTAGAGAATTGACGAGCTTAATATAGTCTTAGGTCTTAAAGTCCCAGCATAATTGTTCTGTACTCTTAGTGACCTAAGATCTAATAAGCAATCTTCTCAGAAACACATGCGAAGCTAGAAATTTGGTGCACAAATCTCTTTGGAGTTATATCTTTGCCTTTATCAATTCCTGATGTTATCAAAATGTATAGAAATTTTTTGATAGCCAATTTATGATCTTAATTAGGGTGAGCCAATGGGATAGTTGAGAATGATTTCCCTGCATCAGACCTGCCCATTTCCCTCCTGTTTGCTGTGTGTTCACTGCAGCAGATTTTGCTCAAATAAGCTACATGATGCTCCTGCTTTGAAGTGGCTACAAAAGATGCTCTGCAGCAGAGAGGCCAGCAGTCCATAAACAATAATTTGTGTCTACCTACCAGGCTCCTCTTCTCTCACACTCACCACCTTGAACTGTTTTATTCCATAGAGAGCAAATTCAGCAGAAGTTAAACACTGCAAAGCCTAAAACACAGAGTATTTACTCACATATCAAGACTCCTGGTTCAAGTGAAGCCAGTTCTTTGGCTGCCTGGGTACTTTCTCCAAAGACTCTCCTATGTCTATTCTTTCCTCTTCTTCCACTTGGATATACAGCTCTGGGAGCTCTGATTAGCAAGTTTATTTGTCTTTAGTTTTGTAAGCACCCGTAAGAGCATATTTGTTAGCTCAGTTTCCTCATTTTTTTTTTTTTTTACAATGTGGCACACATAGCACTCTTTCTCTTAAAAAGTGCTATTTTCCAGCCAGTAATGACAATAACTCTTTAAGTTTTGAAGTTGATCTACTTGCTAATCCCACTTTACTTTGTCCTTAAGAAAACGAAAAAAATACCCCTGAATGTTGGGAGAATAAATTACTTAATGTATTTTAAAAATTTTAAAGTATTTATACAAAAATAAATGTTCCAAACCCTGTTACTTTAAAATATTTATAGATAAATTCATGTGTACATGTATATGAAGCATACAAAGAAACTCATAAAAATAGTTTGCTCATTCATTAAAAGTAGTAGAAAATATGCTTCCTTACCATGTTCAAAAGGAATTACTTGGTTTATTTTTTAGAAATTACCTACCAGTTTTGTATTTGCAGGCTAGAAGTATAATTTATAATGTAGTGTCTATCTGATGGGTCCCATGTTCACAATTAATAGTCATCCCCATGCAAAGCCTCTTACCTTGAAGGATCTTAACAGCTCTGATGAAAAGGGAGAAGGATCACTCACCTACCACTTACTGATCTCCCACTGCCCCCTACAGTATAAAATTCCCACTGAGAAAAACTTGTCCTAACTGAACAAAAATAAAGGCACAAATCAACAATTATCAATACTCCTTGGAAAGCTTCATTTGGAAGGTTTTTTAAAAGCCACGAAAGCATACTAAAAAAGAGATTCTTATATAATTCTGCTAGAAGTATGCAGTAGTCATTACAAGCCAATGTATGTGCCAAGAACCCATAGAACGATTGGCAATTTGACTTAAAAAGTCCACTTCTGGAACTCAGTCCTATGGCAGCAATCCTAATATGGATTGTGTATATATAATTTAAATAGAAGAATGCTTAAATAAGCCACAGAATAGGGTCAGGTATGGTGGCTCACACCTGTACTCCCAGCACTTTGGGAGGCTGAGGTGGAAGGATTACTTGAGCCCAGGAGTTCAAGACTAGCCTGGGCAACATAGTGAGATTCCATCTATACAAAAAAGAAGTAATAAAAGACCACAAAATAT